TTTACATTTTGGGGTTTAGGGGATAGGGTGTTGCATGTTTACAGATTGCAAAGCTGAACAAAATAAAAGGATTTGAATTGAATAAACACGTTGACCAGAGGAATCTGCTCCGTGCACTCCCTTTACACAAAGAATCCTCAAGTGAGGACGAGGGACATGCAGCTGATTTCAGGTATACTATCCCAACTCAAGTGAGCCACATCTTGTTACAAAATCTATAATGAAGTTCCAATGATTCAGAAAAATGGTCTACAAACACAGAATTGTTGAACACAGAAATGTTGTTTCTGCACTTTTAATTCCATAATTTATTTTCCTGAAAAATATATTTTATTTCTGTATTGTTTTTAATTAGCAAAAGTGTTGTTATATGTATAGTGTTATATTTATAATAAATACAAATCAATAAAATAATGTGTTTGTCCTTGTTAAGGGATGTTAACATGACAACTGTGACTAAGTATGTAAGTTTCCAGCGAGCAATTTATCCGATGAAACAACGTTTAAAAGACGTCTATGGCCGGACGTTGAAAAGAGGTTGCAAATTGGTTCAAAAGTGAAAGTTGTTTCAACGTCTATTCGTAGACGTTGAAAAGACGTTCACGTATAGACCCGTTTTCAACGTGATTTATAATATCGGTGGTAAACTTACAAATGTGGACGTAGTTTCTTTTTAAACCTCTAAAATTATGATATAGCACACAAGAGAGGACGAAATGTTACCGTATTAAAAAATCACGTTGAAATGTGGTCTAAACATAGACGTCTTTTCAACGTCTACGAATAGACGTTGAAACAACTTTCACTGTTAAACCATTTTGCAACGTCTTTTTAACGTCGGGCCATAGACGTCTTTTAAACGTCTTTTCAACCAAAAAATGCTCACTGGGTAATGTCGGTTGTATCCACTTACACCAGTGTCTTTTTCTAGTTATTACTTTCCGTTGTATCATTATTGTTGTAAGAGTAAAATTGTGTCATCTTGTATAGACATATTTTATGTCAAGAGGCAGAGAGGAAAGGAAAGAGAGGGGGTGGACTTGATGGTGAGGCTAGGGTTGCTGTTGCTTGGGTTTTTCCAGTTCTCACAGCAACCCTCCAGGCTCATATTCAAGTCTACTTTCCTCTCTTCCCTTTCTCCTCCTCACTTTATTACCCTCCCACTTCGAGACGCCGAACAGCGCCGGGCTACTGTTAAGAATTTTTAATCCTCTTGACATAAAATACTAATATTAAATATGTGTATGTAACAGATGTGTTTAGGGCATGGAAGTAGTCGACTCGGGTACTGATCTTTTCAGCATTTATTTGCTCCTGCAGAAGACAATAAAACACAGACATTGCCTTCTGGTCTCCACACATCACACAGGGTCTTCAACAGAGTAACACTTCTGTGAAGGAAAAACGGGACTATGGAAGCCTAGGAGGCGCAGGTGAGATGAATCGCAATTTCCGCAAATTTAACTTATCAAAATAAAATTCACACACACACACACTCAACAAGATTGTTGAATAATAACCAAAAATAAGATACAATACATTGAAAATGACAGTGTATTTCTAACTCCGTTATATGTATTTGATGTCTGTTGGACACCAAATTTCTGCGGGTTGGACTCATTTCAGTACAATCATTGTGGGCTCAAATAATTTTCAATGAATTCACCAAAATATTTTTTCATGCAAAAATAGTGTAATACACATTTAAACAAAATCCATGCAAAAATTGGATTCTTACATTTATTTCCGATGTTATCAGAAATATATAATGAACAGAAATCCAATAAAATAGTTTCATCAAAAAGACATTTGGATGTTACAGTTTAAAAAACTGCTTGCTTATTTGTTTGTTGGTTCTTTAGACTCTTTTGACATGTGTTTGAGACTGAACTGTTCGCATATCAATATTATCTTTACCAGGGACTGCCTGGTATGTTTAGCTCCGTTTAGTTTTCTAAGGCAGTGACATTCTTCAATGTCCACGTTGCCTTAGTGATCACACACAACATTCTCAACTGGGGTGTTTCAAAAGTCTTTTCCCAACAATGTTTCTTCTTTCTTCGTCCCTGGTACAGCTTCTCTGCTGCTTTTGTAAGGGTTCTTACTTTGTCAGCTTGGAATCATTTGTGATGACAAAACTGCTTTTGTTTGTTCTCCAAAAGGTCTGCTTCCTTGACATTTCAATTCCATGACAACGTCCAAAGGAGTAAAAGTTCTCTTTAATCCTGTGGATCTTCAGACTCGCCAAATGAGTCCTGGTTTCTTTGCTTGTCAGACTCCTGTCGTCTCTCGTTTAGATCATCCAAGCATTTTGTAATGTTCATTGGGGCTGTAGTTGTTGGTTGGTTCTTCTTCATCCTTGGTGTGGCGGCGAAGCGAAGTCGAGTCCAGGATCCACTCAAACATATCCTTGAATGATAAAAACAAAAACAACAAGGTTCAGTCTTCTATTTTCTATCAATTCTAGACATACTTAGTTTTTTTCCCTATTTATCTTTCCTATTTAAGAATTGTGCTTCTGTTTTGTTGTACATTTGTACATTTCAGGAATTATGAGCTTATTCTTCTAAATTAAAGGCCAAAACGAATTCCCTTGTATTTAATTAACATAATCAAGTACATTAAGTACATAATCCAATTATATCCCAGATAAATATTTGCACTCAGAATTCATTTCACACAAGCAAATTCAAGAACACACACAGTGTTGAATGCAACACTGTGTGTGTTCTTGAATTTGCTTGAGTTACTCCAAGAAAGGAGGATTAACTGCCTGGTTGGCCCCCACCCTCGTACAGCAACCTGGTTGATGCAACCTCTCTGCATGTTGCGGTTGGTTTCCCATCGTTGTGTGGGAAACATTAGATTCAGTCCACTGGTACAGTTTACGGTCAAAAACCCTTCCGATGTCAAACACCTGACGAACACCGCAAGTCCACAACCTAAATACTCAAGCTAATTAGTGCTTAGTGGACCCCCCCCACCCGGTGTACACAAAGGGGAACACAGTTCTGACATCACACCCATATTTGACTCCTGTTCCCTAGGAGACTATGGCTGTGTGTTTGTGTTTGTTTGTATATCACCTGTTGTTAGTTGAAAAAGGATCCACCATCTCCGCTTGTTCTCTCCTCTTTGTCCTCCACCCGAACACCATCCCGTCTTTGGAAGGCCTCCTCCCTGGTCCACTCATTTTGTTCCCAGCACCCTAGTCCACGGGCCTCCGTGTCCCTATTTGTCTCAGGAATACATATAAGAACAGACAGGTTTTAGATAATACTTCATCATCATCATTGTATTAAATATTTTGTTTCTGTTTTTCTTTTCTCTGCTCCGGAGCACTATTGATGCTGGTATAAACACATTTGTTTGGGGAGTCCTGGGGAGTCCATAGAATCCCAGGAATAATGTACTGATATTTGATGCTTACCAGTCCCTCTGTCCTGTAGCTGGATGCTGAAGTTCTGGCTCATTGCTTTGTTTAATGCAAGCACACATCTGGGCTCTGGCTCTGTGGGACCAGGGTTGTGGTTTGTGATGGGGATTGAGGAGGTGGAGGAGGATGTGACGGCTGGAGAGTGAGTTGGAGGAAAAACAGGCCCAGGAGGCTTTGTCGCCAGTATGTCAAAAATCAATCAGGAGGATTATTTCACATTATCAATTATCTTGTTAGTCACTTTTACCATGGCTTTGCCTTAGTTAAACCTTCTTTTCTTTCCCTAGATTTCCTTTGCATCTGTGCTCGATTTGACCCGTCAGAAGCTGATATTTTAAAACTATCAACTTCCTGACTAGAGACTGTTCGAAAGCCTTCTTACCCGGTAGTGAAGAAAAACACCGGCCCGGTTTCGCTAGTAAAACGGAATGTCGTCACTCCATTTCAACTCAAGCGGATCCTTGAGGGGATCCTTGACAAAACCAAACTAATCCTGTAACGGACTAGGGTGGAGGACTTTGAAAAGAGTCCTAGACTCCCTGTGCACAGTTTCAGGTCCAAACCTTGAGAGGAAAAAGAGTTCTTAAGATCCGGCACGAAGGACCAATTACGTATGTTAGAAAAATATTACAATATTTATAACAATATTCACATTTTAATACATCACCAGTAGGACGAATAGGAATACAAATGATTTAATTGTATTTTTTGCATTTTCTGCTCATGACCATACAAATATTGTGTCACGCCAATATAAAGTAATTGGAGCAGCGGTGTACAAAGTTCACGATTGTGGCCATGTGGAGAAAAATAGTCTAAAATACTAAGGTCACATTTCAACCAGCCGAATGAGTCATTCTGTTGAATGTTTAAAAAAAAAAGTGATTTAAAAAGAGCTTGTCGGAGGCTTATCTCCTCAGCCAGCTCGTTCCAAAGCACGCCCCCCTTTTGTTTTCCCCTGAGGATCAAGGCTCTGAGCTTGCCCATAAGCGGTTAACATTCATTACATATACTTTGAGGCTTAATCCATATGTAATTTAAAAGTGATCAGTGAAAAACTAGCTGCAGGTGAGAGAATAAACTTGAGAGGAGGAGTTACAGGGCTCAAGTCTTGACAAGACAAAAGCCTCAAAGACTTTTTCCAGGTCATCTCATTTAGCTGACGCTTTTAGCCACAGCAAATTTTATTGCAAGGGTGCCCAGGGAGCAGATAGGGGGACATGGAGCAGCCAGGGTTCGACACGGCGCACCCTCTGTGCTCCATACGCCACGGTCAGATCAACAATCGTAAGATTTGATGATTCTTCTAATTTTAAGGGACCAGGACCGGACAAATGTTGTGGTTTGTGATTAGCACTTCTCATAAAATGGACTTTATGACAGGACCATAGGGAACTTTCAATGAGACGGATACTGTTGGGCCTAGATAATATGATTTCTGATTGAGTTATTCGGCTGTAATCACTCAGGTAATCCAAAATAGCAACCTTTGCTCATGAAATGGTTATGCAAATACAGACACCCACACACCGAGGGAGCGATATTTTCAAAAGAGAACCTCAGCCCGAAAACACAACCATAAGCAAGACCGACAGGGCCATGTAGACAGAGAGACAGCCATAAGCAGAAAGACAGAGAACCATAAGCAGACAGACAGCAATAGGCATAACAGACAGGGCTGTGTAGACAGACAGACAGCTATAAGCAAGACCGACAGACAGACGTAAGCAGAAAGACGGACTGAAGGAGAAATGTTCGCTTGAGTAAAAGTCTCCAATGCAAAGTATTTCACAATAACTACTTAATATGTTTCAGATGATAAAGAAAAGACGGAGGTCAGAGAAAGGTCTCTATTGAAGTACCAGGAGAAGCTCTCTGCACAGTTCATATCAAAAGCAAAGAAACAGCATGCAGAGAAGAAATATGCACTGGAGAGAATGATGAGGGTAACATACTCAGTGACAGCTTCATCTACTTACACATCACACCAAGATGAAATCTGCTGGGAAATGTGGAAGGAAATTCAGTGTATTTTACTTGATCTCAGCTTGAAAAGGAGAAAAAAGACGGTATCCAGAAAATCAAGGAGAAAGAGCAAGAGAAAAGCACAGCAGAGTTGACAGCATGGAAACTGAGACAAAAACAAAGAGCAGAGCAAGAAGACCAACTCAAAGATCACAGTCAGGGACAGAGTCGAGACGGACTGCAAAGCATGACAGAGAAGCAGGACAATGCCTGTTCTCATGGAGCAAGTTGCAAACGGGGTAAGTCACTTCCTCTGCGATCAAGTAGACACTAGTTTTTTTCTCTTTAAATTAGCACATTCCTGCATTTAGATCTGAAAAGTGACAGTGAAGCAGAGAGCAAGAGCAAACAAAAGGACCTGCCTGCTCCGAGACTCGTTGGAAACATCCAAGTCACATTCACCCCGCGGCTTTTTCTAACAGCCCTGAGGGAAGAGTGATAGAGGAGGAAGAGGTGAGCATTTCTGACTTCCTTTTCTGTCAGTGTAGTTAAACAGCAGTAAGTTTAATGAAGAGAATCCTCTCCAGTGCAGTACCCAAAGTCACACACTGATTACCAAAGAACACACTGGAGGAGCATGGGATGGAGCTGTCGATCTTCTCTTTAGTGGACGAGCCACTTTGATTTCCAACGACAAAATGATGGCATGATTTATTCTTCCCTCCTCTTTTTTTGTCTCTTTGCATGCATGGTGCACTTATTCACTTCAATCAGGGTTTTGCCTATCATTAGAAACCTCCCACCTTCCTTAGAAGGTTCATTTTGTCTTATTTCATGTTCTATATAGCGCCAGATCACATAGGCACTTGTATATGCATACACACAGGCACAAGCGTCCACGTACACATACACACAAAGCTGAGCACACTCCCACGAGCAGAGCGAGAGAACACGTGGCAGAAAATGTGTCGGTGTCCGTCCGTCCATTCTGTTTTCTGAGTTGAACTATAATTGAATCAACAGTGGCTCCAACAACAAGCTGAAGCCTGGCGTACCGGGAATGCAGATGTAGAAGAGCTGGAGGACCTGAAGAAGGAGGAGAGGAATCCTGATTGGTTAAAGGACAAAGGGGAGTGAGTGAAGTCTGCTCTCAAATCTTTGTCACATGTTTTTTGTGATCCACGGGATCTCTAAATTGTTCTTTTCTTTCAGCAAATGTTTTATGACTGGGGACAACCTGGGGGCATTGAACGCGTACAGCCTGGCTATCAGGCTAAACAGAAAGATCCCAGCTCTATATTCAAACAGGTCTGCCCGCCATCTGAAGTTAAAAAACCTTCACAAGGCCAATGCGGACTCCTCTCAGGTCTGTACATTCCCTGTGTTTACATGTGTTTATTTTTATTGCTGCATTGCACTGCATTGAGTCAAAGCTGCACTGCCCATGTTGGTGTCTGGAAACTGTTGAATGAATTCTACCACTGCAGCACCGTTGATACTCTTCACATTGGACACATCTTTAATATTCACTATTTTTAGTTTCTACTTGCATGATATAGCAAAGCTAGATTAAGCTATTATGTTAAGTAGGAATACACTTCTGAACACTTTTCTCTGCAGGCACTTGATCTGTTAATTCCACCAGTTTGCGCCAATGCAGCAGCCAGAACCAGAGCTCATGTCCGCCGAGGATCTGCCTTCTGCCAGCTACAGCTCTACGCAGAAGGTTTGATAAGCAGCAGTTACTGTTTTTACGTGATGTGAGATGCATGTACTAGTAAAATATATTATAACATTGTTTTGTGCTAAGGCCGTGTCTCAAGTGTCCTGTATTTGACCCTGATGTGCAAAGAGCAGAATGATACAAAATGTCCTGAGAAGGGAGGGCGGTTAACTCGATCTCATTGAAGCTTCAAAACAAAGGACTTCTGTTCATGGCCTTGGTTCATATCTTATTCGGAACTTTCGTTCCGGATCCACGTTTTTACTTTATGTCAATTAATTAGGATTTGCACCGGCCACTGAGGAGGATCTTGTGTGTGTGTGCTACCCTCAGCTTCACCTGGGTTCTTATCTCAACCTGCTTTGCAGCTTCTCGTAGCGGGCACAGAGAATGTCCTTCACATGTGTATAAAAACTCAGCGTTGTTACTGCTCGGGGAGGCCATTACACCGAGCGCTGAGATACGTGCTGGTGTGTTTGACCTCCTGCCTATAGGCAATAGTTAGAGCCAGATATCTGCGGAGGATTGCTCATGTAATCTTTTTCTCTTCTAAATAAATGTTAACTTTTTGACTTTAATTGATCAACGTGCTGCGATTCTTCTCATCAACCAACTCGGGGGGATCGGAGATCCCGACAGTGACTATACATCATTGAATTTGATGTCTTGGTTTTAATGACATTTTGTATAGTGAATATATCATTGTAGCCTGTCTTTTCAAAATAAGTGAATTGCTGCTCAGTGGTCTCAGCTGATATACCTGTGACATGTTTTCTCAGGCCTACAAGACTACCAAGCTGCTGTAAAGATTGACCCTGACAACCCTGAAGCGTTGCAAGCAGACACGCAGAGAATCAGAGAAATTATTCAAGGCACTGCAGCGAGCCACTAGTCACAGTGAAACACAAGCTGCTGTGAATATGGAATATGGATGTATATTGTTGCTGTTATTTGTGTGTTACCCAAAGCTCTATTTAATGAAAGAAAAAAACAATGTCTGCAACCCTTAAACCATAGTTTAAAACTGTTGAATCCCTGTTGTATTCATTGTGCTACAGACTACATACCTATGTCACACACTGATGAATACAATATGATGAGAGCGCATAGGAAAGACTCCATCAGTGTGAGCAGAACACACTTGAATTGACAAAACTATACAATGCTCTAAACCAAGAGGATACTTCTTCAGAACGGTTGGCAGTGAAGGCGACAGAGGCAGTTCGCATTGCAGTGAGAGAAAGAGAATTAGACCTTTATAGTATAACACACACTAAAACAATTATAATCTACAAATAAAACAATCATTTAAAACAGTTATATTTGTATTATTAGTAGGCATCTCTACAGCATTTCAAGGGAAAAGTATAAGCTTGTCTGTTGATTGCCTCGTTGATTACTGAGACCACTGGATCACTTTTGAAATAGAATTTCCAACAGTCTGTGTGTATTGATCCTTATTTATATTTAAAAGGCAATCCACATTTTATGTTCACTTATTATGTTATAAAAAGTAAAAATTATTGTGTCTGTTTTCACTGGGGCTCCAATGCATTCACCATGCTTTTACTTTTTTTACTTACTTTAGACTTTTTTTTTGTTGAGTTTTTTCTGCAGATGGTGCTGGCTCACAGTCTTTCAATTTCATTAATATATTTATTTCATAATAAATGAAAAGGTACAATCTACAAAAACAGATTGGTGAAAAATCTAACCACTGACCCAGCTGTAACAACACCAGTTACATTGTTATAAGAGGTTAAAGAATCAATTACAACATTCCATCAAAGTGAAAACAAAGTTGTTGGGTGTGAAACACAGGATCAAGCTGTGGAAATCCTCCTGTGATGATGTCTATTAGGGGATACCTTCTCCACATCTTTGGAAACTCCCTTAATCAGGATTTTATCCTCTTTTTGGCAGAGTATGCATTTAAAAACTATAGACTCACACTATATGCTTTTATGACATACCTGTCTACCTCCAGTACAGCTGCACTGTAGGCTAGAGATCAGTATCGACATAACACAGCGAAGGGTCAAATTGGCTGCGTTGTAAATAATCTACAAAACAGAGTTGACTGGCTTCTAAATGTGGGTCCAGAGAAAGATTTTTTTCCCATTCCACTCATCCAAAGAGTTAATTCTGCCAAACATGTGAATCTAACTGAAGTAACAATTAGAGACTTCAACCACACACCCTGCCCTGTGTCCGCAATACAATTGAAAGCTTTAAACATCCTAAAGACCGTTTGTTTGTTTATTTTGTATTTCTACAAATTGTTAATTCTTTTCATCTAATCAAATATGAGAAAAAAATCCAAAAAAATGAACATTTTTTCAAATTCAGCATCAAAAGAGCTGCATCATTAAGAGGCGTTCATCTATTTCGGATGTTGCATTGGGTTCTCTGATTGAATACAATTCTGTTAAAAAAAGTCTAAATTGTATGTTACACTTTCTTTTTCTGTTTTTTGAGTCTTTTCTCATGCTGCAGTAGAGATTATTGGCCGACAAGACTCATTTGTCCTTATTTTTTAGATATACAGAATATATAATACAATACATCACATTTCTAAATTGTTACCGGGGTGCCTTGAGGATAAAAAAAAATATTGAAATGAAATTGATTAGCAACAACAGCTATTGCTGAATCAAAAAGTTCACATTGCAGTTTAAACTGTAAAATTGTGTAATCTGGAAACTGCGTTTCTATGCCTCTTCGTACTGAACCATCCTCCTCTTCCTTCCCTCTCCGAAGAGAGCCATCCATGCAAAATGTGATTAGACATGCAACTCTGCCTAATGAGCTGAAAAACTGCTGGGTAAGTGTACGCGTGTGTGAGAGATGTCTGTATTTTGCTCCTTTAGTCACAGCTCTGTGTGGTATCGTCTAACACTCTTACTCACAATGTAACCGCACACACATTAGAAACCAGGTTTTGTTTCATGTAAGCGATGCGTCATTTGCACACATGCCATTAGACAGCAGAAAGTGTCAAGCTGACAGAATCTACCAAAGTTTGCTCTAGTTCTTTATAACTAGCAGAGTCAGATTTGCAACATTTGCATTCACTTACAAGCACAACAATGGAAAAAGTGGCAATGGGTTTGGGTCGGTAGCCATCGGCACTAGTAAGTTGGGTTGACAGAAAAAGATACTACAGCCACACTACTTCGTGATCCCGTTTCTAACTGGCCTTAAAACACACTTGCTACATTTGTGGTAAATTGAGCATGAGCAGATTATTCTATTTTACAGTTGGTTGGTTGGTTCCATAAAATATTTCTTAATTATGGGTGAGAAATGTGGTCAATACACAGATGTGCTAAGAACAAGGACCAGAGCGGACTCTCTTCTCTGAGGCAAATTAATGTCAACATCCAAGTGAATAAATCGTCATTCGCCATGACGTCTGATCTCAAAAAGGCATGTACTCGAGCCATGTTGTAAAAGGTAGTTTTTTATGTTAGTCATATTCATGAGCTCAAGAGAGAATACGCTGCTATGGATCATTAACGCTAAAAAACAATCGAGAGGCACATATCTGTTGACTTCATGCTAAAAAATTGAAGACCCAGTTTTCAGTGACGGCTTAGTGAAATGAGTTGGAGTACGTACGTACACATGTTCTTACCATTGATTAGTCAGACATGCTGCGGTAGGTTATCAAAACAAGCCAAATGACCAGTTTCGGGCTCTATACAAATACAGAATCCCTTTAACTTCCTTTCTAAAGCCTTGTATTTAGCCAAAGAAGGAAATTGCCAAGATAAAAAAATCATTTTATTTAAGACTATGCTACTTTCAAGTCGCTGTGTTGTGCCAATTTGCCAACAAATAAAAAGGAAAAACATTAACATGATTTGCATAAAGAGGAAGGTCCATGCCGCTACGTGGCGTCCTGAGATCGGTTTATGCCGTTCTGAAAAAGGAACCCGCCACCTACCGCTTTTCAATCTCTGCGCTATTGCGCGTTTTCTGTCATTGGCCAGTCACAAAATAGCTTTATCCCGCCAACCAGCAACTTGGATGTAGAGATACAATGTTCACTGGGTCCTCCCACTGTCTGTCAAAGAAAAACTACTCGCGCGCCAGCAGATAACAGGCGAGCAAGCTATGGGGCGCCGTTTGTAAAATGTCGCAGGTTCTAAAATCCTGCGCAGTTTTGCTACATTTAGCATTATCATATGAACAAAAAGCACGACAAGATTCATATGTCACTTTTTCAAACATTTAGAGAGAAATTCATGTAAATTCATGCAATAACTTTTCCAAGGATAATGTTTGGCAGTAACCCAAAGTTGTTAAATAATATAAATGTAAATGTACATCTAAATGTTAAATGTAAATGTTAAATGTAACGGACGCGCGGTCAAATCCTCGGCGATGGTACGCAGATATATCACCTGAACCTCCTGAAAGCCTGGAGGGAGGCGTAGTCGGTTTCTGTCGTGTCCGCTGTATTTGAGAAGAGGAACTGTTACTGCCTCTTGCCATGTCCCTGCTTACACTACACACTTACGCTGCTATTATCAACACTGCCAACTTTCCTTTGTTCCTGAAGTCTTTGTGCTTTCTCTACCCACAAGTTTTTGTGGATGGTGGTTGTATTTGATGGTGATTATATGAGGTGGGTAAACTATGAATTTCGATAAGACAAACCTGACGTGACGTGTAAGGCTGTCCTGGTTAAAGTAAAATTAAACCAATGCCAGTAAATTAATGTGTAAATATTGCATGTAGTTTTAGTTTATTAAATATCAAGAAAACAGTAAAGAAAGTAAATGTTTCCAGTATATTTCCCTTACAGGCTACTGTACACCTTTCATGACTTCAAATAATGTACTAAGCACATAGGCTCTTCGGTGAAGCAACACCTCATGTTTCTATGTGAGAGACATGTTAAGAAGAGCAAACAGGAGGAAGCTCTCCACTCCTGTTTGCCTTCAGCAACAAAAACACTGTTCACCTAGTTCACGTTATGTCTAACTGCCATGCAAAGAATCCATCTACAATTTTCAGATAATAAGACTAATCTGCAGCTATATGCGTGAGGATAATTACCAATGCATCTTCAATTAAATTTTTTTACCAGGCCTATTTAGATCGAACCGGGAAGGCTGGCTTGTTATTGCATCATCGTATTCGAAAGCACGGTATTAACAGCGTTTGTTCAGGTAAGGCTGGCTTGTTACTGCATCATCATATTTGAAAGCACGGTATTAACAGTGGCAGGTCTTATTGCAATGTTGTACTTAAAGCCTTTTGTGGTTATCTGCGGGAGTGGGAGCATGCAATAGTATCTTTAAAACTCTCTGATCTCTGATATCCATGGCTAATTTACCCTGGGACCCTGTTGCTCTGACATGGTTGAACAACGTCGATCAATAGTCAAAGTTGAGATAAGACATGCACATGCTCCTTCGGTAAAGTTGGCAAGATATTCACAGAACCAGACTTTACAGTTCAATAGCTCGTCAGAGAAACGTTATTTTACCAATACGGACCATTCCGTGAGCTGGACGATTTGGTCTTAATGTGCGGCCTAAGTGAGACTCCTTATTGGTCAAATGATCGTAAATTAGGGTTGTAGTTGGTTGTACGCTATGGTCAACTAGTTACAGAGGGCTTTTATCAATGTTTTCTCGTAATCTCCAAATTTTTGGGGGGGTAGAAATGGACTTTCATAGTTCTGGGAATGCATAACTCTCAACAGAGATGAAACTCTGGGGGGACGTGAATGTTTGATTTGCGCTCCCAGATTTTGACATTGATTCAAAGATCAGTATGTATGCATGTATTATTCATAATCTCAAATTCAATATATTGAAGCAGCAAAACATAGAACATAAGTTTATGAAGAAACTTAGAAATAAACTTTACTGAGAACTAGGTATGCAGCGGCTATCCCAATGTTCTCCGGATTGCATACAGAAATTTACAGTCTGGGACAGCGAATGGTTGGCTGCGGCGCATGGTGT